GTACATTCACAACTCCTCGCCAACACAACAATTCAAAGGCATTGTTTTTTGTTGGTCTTTGTTGGTCTTCTTTATTCATTACAACACTTCATTTCACAATTTTTTTTGATGTACGAGAAATAAATGAAAATATCATGGCTTAGGCCATGATAAAAAATTATAATAATTTTTCTTTAGAGGTTTTTTTCCTCCTCTGCTGTGTACAATTCTAAGTAAATTTTCACTTCAACAGAAAGAGTAAAAACATTTTTCTGGGGTTTATTTGCCAGATAACATCAACTCTTAGAATCTAGCAAAAAAAAAAAAAAAAAAAATCCCGAACACCTCAAATCATTAAAACAAAAAAAACAGGGTTAGGAGGAGTCCTTGGAAAGCAAAACAATGTGTCATGGATTGAACTATGTTCCCCTAAATTCTGAATCAACTTGGTTAGGCCATGGTTCTCAATGGTTTAGCAGTTAATGTAATGATTTAGTTTAATAGTTACATGATTATGCAATAATCTACCAGGAAGTGATGTGATTTAATCCTCCCTCAGTTGCTATGTGTAACAAATCTTAACTGATATTTATTAATGAGGCAGAAATAGGTTATATTAATGAAGATTATATTTGTTGTATCAGTGAGGGGGGGATGAAACATCCTTTCTCAGGTCATAGTCCTGATCTGATGTAAAGGGAATTTCCCTGGAGTGTGGTCTGTATAACCCTTTCTCTGACTAAAGTTAAAGAGAGAGAGAGGGGAGCAGAGGAAGAGAGACTTACCACCACCAAGAAAGAAGTCTCTGAAGTGGAGCACATCAGGTATGGGATCCCTGCACTAAGAACCTTCTAGAGCTAGAGGAAGGTTGATGCCAAAATACATGGGTATCTCCAAGGAACTCTGAGCCCACAGATACTGGAATGAGGCAAGGATCTTCTTAAACTGTGAGCCAACAGAGAAAGAACACTTTCCCTTAAAGCCAGCACTCTGAATTTGACTTCTAGCACCCTAACCTGTAAGGGAAAAATTTCTGTTTGTTAAACCCATCCACTTTTGGTATTTCTGTTATGGTAGTAAAGAAAACTAGACACAAAGTACGTCATTAAACTCAATTTTCACTGATTTTTATTATACCATCATCAAGATACCACCCTCTATCTTAGTAACTGTAGCTAGAAATCTAGGGACAGTAACCCCCACTATGTATCTCTCTATGGGACGCCAAACTTTATACCAAATATTATATGAAAACCCTTGTTCAGGAATTGAAGAAATTATAGATATAAGTTAGGATTTCTCTTGTGGCAGATCCTAGAAGGTGAGCTGGAAACAGCAGGGGGCCCCCTACAGAGGGAGTGTTACTTCCTGGGCTGGAGTTCACCCTGAGGCATCAAGGTTAAAGTTGTTGTTGTGTTGTTGTTCTGTGCCATCGAGTCGCTTGCGACTCATAGCGACCCTATGTACAACAGCCCTAAACTCTGCTCTGTCCTGTGCCAATCGCACTGTCTCTGACACTCCCATCCCAATTATCCCAGTCACTGAATCAATCCACCTCATAGAGGGCCTTCCTCTCCTGCGCTGTCCCTCCACCCTCCCAAGCATGATGTCCTTCTCCAAGGACCGGTCTCTCCTCACAACATGTCCAAAGTATGTTAGACGGAGCCTCAGAATCCTTGCCTCCAAGGAGCCACCCGGTTAATAGATAAGGGTAAACAAAATTCTTGCATTTGTGAACCCCTCCCTCCTGAGTCAAGCAGAAGGTTTTAAACAGAAAGAGATTGGCTTCATTTGCATTGAATTCTTTTTTGTAACTTACTTCCTGTCGGTTTTGAATAAAAAGACAGAGAAGCTTGGCTTGAGGTCTTCAGTTGAGAACTGTTGGCCCCCTGTTTTATGCTCTCTGCTCTATCTCATTACTGGCTGTTTGTCTCTTTATTAATAATTATAAGATTAGGGGAGCTCTGGTGGCCTAGTGGCAAGAAACTGCACTGCAATCCCAGAGGAACACGGTTCGAATCCACCAGACGCTCTGCCAGAGAAGGAGGCGCAATATCCTCCTGTACCAGTCAGATCTGATTTGACGGTACACGTACACAAAATTAAAAAAAAAAAAAATAATTATAAGATTATTCTATTCTTTGGGACCCTCAGTCTGCAACATCTCTCCCTGCTGCATTCAATTAGTCATTAAGTCCAATGAATTCTATCAATGAAGGATCCCTCCAGTTTGTCTTTCCAATCATGTCAACATCCCACTATCATGTATTATGTCAGAGGTTAAAAATAATGTGGGTAAAGGGGAAAATCCAATAACAGATTGTTTTGTCTGCCTTTCTGTGTATCAGAGAGCTGGACACTGACTAAGGATGACAGAAGAAGAGTTGACATCTTTGGTTTGTGGTGCTAGAGAGAAAGTGTTGAACATACTGTGGACTGCCAGGAGAGCAAACAGATCTTTGAGAGGATGAAAACAAGTTTCTCCTTGGAGGCAAGGGTTTTTTTTTAATAGAGATTTTATTGCAAGTTTATAGAGAACTTAGCTTGACATTCATTCATTGTTGCACATTTTCCTCCCTGGAGTATTTTAAAATTCCATCTCATATACTTTGGGCACATGGCCAGCAGGGACCAGTCCTTGGACAAGGACATCATACTTGGAAGGGTGAAGGGTCAGTGCAGGAGAGGAAGATCCCAGATGAGATGGATTGACACAGTAACTGTGGTAATAGGGGTAGGTGTATCAGTCAGTGGGACTGACTCAGGATAGGGCAGGGTTCAGAGCTATTATACATAGAGTCGCTATGAAATGCAGGTGATTTGATGGCACATAACAACATAAAATATTTTTAAAAAATAAAAATATTTGCCAGCATTAAAAATTGGGAAATTTCACAGAAAAACCCAGGTTTCCATATTTTCTTGAAAAGTTAGAAGATCTAACAACATTAGACTGAATGTAAATAATAGCTTCATCCTTCAGAAAGGCATAATTTCTTCCAATTATAATTCTTACCTTCCCCTAGGCTTCATTAATTTCAAATGTATTTGTAAATGCTGATTTAAATTCTCACCACTTATTTCCTGATGAATGCAAAGATTTACTCCTCAATCCTATATGATGTTGGCAGAGAGACTTTATAAGTGAATTTTTTTATTTTATTACTACTTAAAAGCCCTTACTAATTTCCAATGATGTCAGGATAGAACTCCCTACTATAACAAGCAAGGCTTGATTCCATGTACACATTTTCAACCTTCTACTGTTTTCGGAGGCAACTGCTTAGAGTTCTCCAAAAATGTCATGTTCTTTCATACTTCTATAATCTTTATAATGCTCTATCTTAAATCTAAAAATGACCTTTCTTTATTTAATTAACTCCTACTCTTCCTTCAAGATCAGCTCACATATGATCTCCTCTGAGACTTTTTTTTTTAACATCAAAATATATTTTATTCTGGACCTTTTTTAGAGCTGATTCAAATTACAGTTGTCAAAGCAATACAATGCAAAGGGAAACTGCAACAATAACCAACAATCAAAAAAAAATGTGCCTATAAAGGATAAAAGGGTCACTGGGGACAAATCATTGTGATGGCACCAAAAACATCGTTAAGTGTAATTAACATGGTCCAGGAGAGCACAGAACAACTATATCAGTCTTTCTTACATAATAATCATGAAAACTGAACAATGAATGTTCTTTCACTTGTACAAAAAACTGTCATGGGCTGGTTTACACTTTTACAACAGTTTTAACGTTAACTGGATAATTAAAGAAATGATGCCATGCTATAGGTAGGCTCAAAGAATTAGACCTACTGGATTTGTAAAAATCAAAATTAAAACATTAAAGCTACAATGTCAAAGTCAGGAAAGAAGAAGATTACTTCTGTGTTCAGAGAGTACAGAAGAAGTACAAAATTCAGTCTATATTGTTTGTTTTTAATGAGATGGATAAGTACATCAGACTAGATACAGCATGCAGAGTGTTTTCCTGAATTTACCCAGAAATCCCTCTGGGATATTCTGTAAATTTCCTCTTCCCGACTGCTTATACCTCCCACCTCAAATAAGCCTACCAGGCAGATCTTGTGGTCTAGTGGTAAGAAGCTGCACTGCAATCTCAAAGACATGCAGTTTGAATCCAGCCACTGCTCCATGGGAGAAGGATGGGCTCTGAAAACCTGCTGAAGGCTCAGCTCTGAGTTGGTTCTGACTTGATGGCACACAACAAAGGCAACAACTAGCACAATGCCTATTATAATGAATTATTTTCTTACCTGTGTCTTCAAACTACAATGTGTCCCTTAAAGTCAACTAGTGTTAAATTTAAAATTACTTAAATTATAAAGTAAAATTGCATTCCTAATTACTCTTTAGTAGCCTAGTGGATAAGGCAGGCACTGCCAGCCCAAAGGTATGTGATTCAAATCCACCACCTGAGCCTCAGAAGAAAGATGGGTATTCTCCTTTTATGTAATTAAAAGCCTCTTAAAAATTTTTTGAAAAGTCATCTATGAGTTTATTCCAACTCAACTTAATTACACATATGACAACAGTGGAGGAGAAAAGGAATTAGCATTTGTAAAAAGTCTCCCTTATGTCAAATACTACAGCTAAATTCGTTTGCATCAATCCTAATGAGTTTTCAATATAAGAAAAAGTGACTAGAATCTTGAATCTTAAAAACAACTCTGTTAAATCTTGAGATATTACTTGGTTTTATTAATTTCTCAACTCATCGTTTGGAAGTAAAAATTGTCATTCTGAGAACTTACTTAGAAATCTTTTTTTTGTTTGTTTATACAATTTCAAGTTAATGCATTTAACATTTAGTATCATATCCCTGATTTTAAAAAAAGTAGAGTGTTCAGATATACAAAGTCTAAAGAAAGATTTAAAACATATTAATTTACACCTTTAACTGAATCTATGCAATAAAACATTCAAGTAAGGAAAAATCTTACATGTAAGATTTTATGGAAACAAATATCACTTAAGAAAAATTCACTAAGAATTAATCTATGGCCTCTTCTATATTAATTAAAATGGCTAAGAGTATTCCAAAAGATGTGAAAATCCAACTTACCATTTCCTTAAGAAACAAAATTGGTGAAAATGCCAAAGTCAGGAAATCATAAACATTGATTTGAAATACGTATTTCAGAATTTGAAACTCCAAAGCATCTTCTGTTGATTTAGAAATAAAAAGTTAATATTTTATATCATGCAACTTTCAAAGTTAATTTATTCCTTAATTGTCATATTAGAGAAGAAATGACTGGCTCCTTACCTTCCTGAGGAATGTGATTTTGAGAAGGCACAGAGTTATCACTTGAAAATATCTGACCGTTTAACTGAGTATTTTCCACAACTCCATAGATTTCTACCTCAGGATAACCTTCCATCAACTGTAATGTGTTGGATTCATCTTCATTATTTTCAGAAGATCTAATCTGGGAATCCATTTCTTCTTGAATCCTCATAGGTAACTCTGTTTTAAAGGCCAAATCTGCAAATAAAGAGAAATGTTTGTTTTGTTTTTTTAAGTACTTGCTTTACTGTGGACTTCTCTGTTGTTTTCATAGCAAGTCTTTCCATAAACATCTGTGATCACTGTGCCACTCCATTGTTATTTCTTGTTGTTATGTGTCGTTGAGTCATTTGCCACTCATAGCAACCCTATGTACAACAGCCCTAAACCCTGCTCTATCCTGTGCCAATTCCACTGCCTCTGACACCCCCATCCCGATTACCCCAGTCACTGAATCAATCCATCTCATAGAGGGTCTTCCCCTCCTGGGCTGTCCCCTCCACCCTCCCAAGCATGATGTCCCTCTCCAAGGATCTGTCCCTCCTTGCAATATGCCCAAAGTATGTCAGACGAAGCCCCAGAATCCTTGCCTCCAAGGAGTAGCCTGGTTTAACCCTCTCCAAGATGAATCTGTTTGTTTTCTTGGCAGTCCATGGTACATCCAATACTCTTCTCCAGCACCACAGCTCAAAGGCATCAATTCTCCTTCTGTCCTCCCTAGTCATTGTCCAACTCTCTGAT